AAAATTTTATATTATTATTATTATTATTATTATTATTGTTTTTTTTCCAGTTTCGAATCGATAAAATTAATCCGGTTTGGTCTTGCGGGTTGGCTTTTGGTGTCACATCCTTGCCCCCGAATTCCGTACAATCACCGATCAACGCACTTTGTTTAAAAGAACATTCTTGGATCGTTTATAAGGATTTTATATTTAAAAATGGGAAAAAAGTTTGTTTTTAGAATTTTTTTTTTTTTTTTTTTAATGAATTTATTCTCTCTAAATAAATTTTTGTTTTGTTTTGTTACAGATTCGCGAAGGTTACGGTATAAAAAATTTTATATTTTCCGTTGGAACGATGATAAAAATTTTAGTTGACAACGAATCCAAGCTACGAATATTTATAAACGATTGCGATTTGGGTGTTGTCGCGAGCGATTTACCCAATCCCGTGTATGCCGTCATCGATTTGAACGGTCGCTGCGAAGAGATTTCCATAGTTTCGGAAAAAATACAAATCCGAGGGAGCGAACTCCAGGATTGTCAGAAAGAAAAAGCCGATTCGGAAATACAGGAAAAATATCCGGAGGAGGAATCGATTGAACAATGTGGGAAAAATCAAAAAATGGACGTGAAACGTCGTCATTCGAAAGAAATGACGAAAACGGAACAAAAGTTGTCGAGTTCGGATAGTTACAATTCGGGAATACAACAAATATCATCCCATGCGGCGTCGTGCAGTTTTCAAACGGACACGGATAATTTCAACACTCAAATCCAACAATTGACGATTGATTTGAAATCGGATTTAGAAAAATCATTGAGCGTGGAGGACGGCGAGTCCACCACCCTCATGACCTCATCCGACACGTACAACACGGAACTTCAATTGTTATCCGCGCAGGGAAATTCGCAAACGAATTTGGACGATTTGAACATTCAAATACAACAGTTGACGACGTCGAATTCCGGTCACGACATATCTTCGAATTGCATTCAAAACATTTCGAGGAGTCAGAGTCAACCGTTTTTAAATAAAAATTTAAAAGAGAATTTTACCAAAGAGGAAAAATTAGACAAAAAAGAAAACAAGGATCAAATCGAATTCGAGTCCTCGGAAGTTTCCGGTTCGGGAATCGAAACGGGGGAAAACGATGACGAGGAAATTGAAAATAGCGATGTAAATGGGGATGAAAAAAATGAAAATGAATCGTCGTCGACGTCGTATTCTAGAAACAGTTTGAAAAATAATATGAAAATCAAACGACAGCAACAGCAGCAGCAGCAACAACAACAGCAACAACATCAGCAACCCGTCGGCGGTTCTAAATTGATTAATTTATCTAGTCAGAATTTAAGGAATTCTCAATCGACGATCGAAAGAAGAAGACATTGTGATTATTTTACTCTATGTTTAAGATTTAAAAATACTTTGGGACTTCCGGGTACGCGAGTATTTCTCTCATTTTTACTCCCGAGTTTACTTCCAGAAACGTGTTTATTTTTTTTTTATTTTTTATTTTTAAATTTAAATTCCCTTTTCAGATGGTTTTTTTTCAAAAGAACCCGGTACTTGTTACTGCAATAACTGTTACCAAGTACAAGCCGTCGAAGAAACGTATAAAATGAAGGGGGATCCTCCGACGGAATATTCCATACCGATGGGTTGGGCTAAATTTCCACTTAAGAAACATCCAAGCGCCACGGAAAAAATCGACACGTGGCAGGTAGCATTCTACGGTACCAGACCGGGTGAGTAGTTCGAGAACAAAAGAAAAAGGAGTAAAAAGTGAAAAAAAATGTTTATGAAAATTAACGCGTTGATTTTTAGATGCCATCAGAAGAATTTTAGACCACGGCGAATTAGTATTACCCTGTTTGTTAGGAATGGAGAGAACGAGGGTCAAAGCCAAAGAAGACGAAACGGATAGTTCACACATTGTTTTCTCCCCCTCCATAAAATATGCGGCATGCGATTATTTCGTGACCAAATTTAGGTATGTAAAATGTGTGGCTTACACGCACACGCACACACACACGCATGAGATAAATGTGTTTCATTGTAAAAAAAAAAAAAAAATTCGAATAGGTTTTACGATTCTCGGACCAAGAATAAAACGGAAGCAACGTTAGCATTCCAAATATTGGTACAACCGGGTAGTTATAAAGTCGGGCCACCGAGCGTGGACGTATCAAAAGAAATACCCGATACCCGATTCGAAAGAGATGCCACGGAATGGGTGACGAAAGAAAGAGGAGCAACGACTCTATCGGCTCTTTTAATCAAATTGGAAGGATAAACTAAACAAAAAGGAAGGAAGGAAGGAAGGAAGGGAGGAAGGAAGGCAGTACCTTGAACCTTAAAAATTGAACGTTATTAATTCCGATATGTACATAAAAGAGACAAAGAAACATAAGAGACATAATAATAATAATAATAATAATAATAATAATCATTTTATAATAATTTCTTTTTTAAAATTTTGTTTTTTTGTTTTGTTTTTTTTTTTTTTTTTTTAATTTTTAACCTTTTTTTTTTTTTTAGAAAGGTGTACGAAACAAACAAACAAACGAACAAACAAACAAAATCAAAATGATATGATTGTGTCATCACTTTTAAATTTGTGTATATAAAAAGAAAGGAAAAAAAGTTTTTTTTTTTTTTTTTTTTTGTTATTATTGTTGTTATTAAAAAAAAAAAAAAAAAAAAAAATTGTAATTTTTAATTATTTAAACAATTTATTTGTTTTAATAGTTAGTTAGTTTTAAAAGGAGGTTTTAGAGGTTTTTCTCACGTGCAAAAAAAGGAAGAGTGCACGTGTAGATGGAAAAAGTTGAATTTTTTTTTTAATAATTAAAAACATCGAAAGAGTTATATATAAATAATATATATTTATTTTTAAAATCTTAAATATATATATATATATATATACGTGAGATTCGACATAATGTTCTATCATTTATAATAATTCGGGGGGCGGAGGGGGAGGGGAAGGGAACGGAAGGGGGGAAAATTTTTTAAATATTATTATTATTATAATAATAATTATTATTAATTAAAATGATACTTGTTTATTTTTATATAACAGAAATTAATTTTTTTTTCTTTTTAGAAATTTATTTTATTATTATTATTATTATTATTATGAATAGAAATTTAAAAATGTCGGAAAGAAAGAGAAAATCAAGCCCAAACGCGACAATTTTGATCCCAAGATGATGATACGATGGACATACCATTGGTTGATACCGATAAAGAAGTGATTCTACTTTCGTGTCCGGATAAATGTCCACGATGTTGATTTTTCAATGCATCCCACATGTGAATCTTAAAAAAAAAAGGAAAATTTTTTAAAAAGATGGTTGTCTACTTCTCGTGTGGTTCGCAGCAATTTTTTTAAAAAAATTTACGTTGTTATCGTCACCCCCGGCGAAAATAAATCTTCCGGAAAGGCTCAAACCGCAACTTGAAAATCCGCTTGTTTTTTTGGGTTCTTCAAAAAGTGCCAATTGTTGATCACTTCTTATATCGTAAATTCTTGCCGTTTTATCATCCGATGCACTTGCAAATGCTTGACCAGATGGATGAAACTATAATTTATATATTACATCGTGAGTGTGAATTTGTTTTAATAACAAAATAAAAATATTTTTTATTTATTTATTTTTTTCTTCTTACAGAAACTGAATTGACGTCGCCAAAATGACCGAAAAATTGTTGTTTGGGTTTACTATCTCTAACATCCCACAACTTGCATGTTTTATCAACACTTCCCGTCACGTATTGGTTTTTATCTGGTGAAAGAGAAATGCATACAACGTCGCCATTGTGTCCTTCAAATTCCGCCGTTTTTTTCCCAGTTTCCAAATCCCATTTGCAACTGTAATTTATTTTTTATATATAAAACCGGTAATGATAATAATAATATGTCGTAATGTTTTAATTTACATTTTCATGTCGCCAGATCCTGTTATGAGATTGACATCGTCGAAAAAACGACAGGAAGATAAAAAACCTTCGTAACCGAGAAGTTCTCGAGCTATTTTAGTTTTACCAGATGAATCTCTATTATTAAGATCGTAAACTGTGCACATGTTATCCATTCCACCGCAAGCTTTAAGATAATATCAATCGCTTTGAAATTATGGGAAAAAAATGAATGCCGTGGGAAAAAACAAAAGCTTACCGACGAAATTACCGGATGGTGAAAATGCCACACTCATAACCCATGAAGATCTCAAAGGTATTATTTGTACTTTATTACCTGACCACGTATCCCAAATGATTAATTTACCATCCAATGATCCCGTTACGCAATGTCTTGAAAAAAAAAAGGAAAAGAAATTAATGTAAAAGGTTGTTGTGGGGGGATCATTGTAGGATCGAAATTGGGGAGGGGAAAAAAAGTTTTTGGGGATCTTACCTGTTATCACCGCTGTAATGAACGCTGTTAACTTTATTTATGTGTCCTTTTAATAATTTTTTAGTCGATATTTTCAATTTGGAAACATCTCCAACGGTTTCCGTTTCCTTTTCCAAAGTTGTATCCGCAGCATCATTCTGTAGATCCTAGAAAAGAAAAAAAATCCCCATTGAAATCCCCATTGAAGAAAGATTATTATTATTATTCACACCTTACTTACTTTTATCTTATTATATAATCCTTCCAATTCTTCTTTTAATTTTTTCCATTCAGGATCTTCTTTTTTCGACATGTTTATTTATTATTATTATTAATATTATTTAACAAAAGAAAATTTTATTTTTTCAACTTGGAAAATTTTTCTGTTGTTTTTCACATAAGCCACACTTGAATTCGACTGAATACATAATAAAAAATTAAATTTTTTAACCAAATAACCCAATTAAAAGGTGTCCCCAAAAAACTTTATGGTTTCCTTTTTAAAATTAAATCCTCCCCCCCCCCAAAAAAAAAAAAAAAAAAAAAAAAAATCAAAGAAATTTTTTAAATTATCGATTTTAGGATATTGTTTTTTATGAAAAATCGTTTGACGTGGGGGAGGGGGAGGGGGAGAAGAGAAAACCGTTACATTAACAATAATCCTTTAACAGAAAACAAATTATTATTATTATTATTATTATTATTATTTTAAAATTATGTATTATACATACGTAAAATTTATTAATTATATTTATTTCACATAATTAAAATTTAAATCGCATAAATGATTTTCTTTTTTTTTTAGCAAAAGATTATCTCGTTTTAATCTTCAATCATCGATTAATCCAAATTTAAATTTAAATTTTCCCGCGTAATTTTTTTAATAGTGGATTAGAATGTAAGAAACGAAACGCGACGATCGTTAAACTTATTTATTTAAATAATTTTTTTATAAAATTTATTAAAAATAATGTTTATTCGCCCGTTTATATTATTTTTTTTCCGTTACAGTTCATAATCGGATTTTGGAATTCGTTTATAGAAAAAAAAAGTGGCAGACGACGGCAAGTTAGAATTTATCGTGTCATCAGATAAATTGCGCTCACTGTTTACGATGTCACAGTCGAGTGTGAATCAGTTTGTGGTATGGTTTGGATTTTATCCCGGGGGGGAAAAAAGCAAAAATAATTAATTATGAAATTACATCAATATAATAATAATAACATGAAAAGTTTATCATCGATATTATTATTATTATTATTAATATTTTGTTTTAATAACTTTTGCAAATGTGAAAACAACGAAAGAGGTAAGTAACGTTCATATTTTAATTTATAATTTTATGTAATTTCTTATTCGTTAAAAATCGTTTTAAATTTTTTTTTCCGTTAAAACTTTTTTAAAATTTAACACAAAGGAAATTTTTTCCATTCATTCATTCATTCATTCATTTTGTATTCTAATCATTATTATTATCATTTTATAATTATATTTAATAGAATCTTTTTTAATTTATTAATAAAAAAAAATTATTCACTGTGTTGCCATCCATAACTCATCATTTAAAATAAAATTTTTTATTCGATTAATATTTTAAAATGTTACGACATTTGAACTATGATTATTATTATTATTATTTTCAAAAAAAAAAAAAGATGATAAACGAATAATAATAATAATAATAATAAAATTGTTGATAAAAAATGAATAAATTTATTAATAATTTTGAGTTATGGTTTTTTTTTTATATCATATACAATCCGAGTGCATTTCATCTTTTCTATCGAATGGATATTTTATTCGTTATTAAAAAAAATTATTTTTAAAATTTCATTTATTAATGATTGATTTTCATTTGATGGAATGTAAAAAAACATCATCATTATTATTATTTTATTTGTTTTTAGAAAACTTTTTCGATTGTCTGTCTTCTGATTATGTGTTTTGCTATTATACTCTTTGATCAATCTCGATATGAATCTTGAAAAATTGCATTTGTTCGGTTTTTTTTTTTTTTTTTGTTTTGTTTGCATTCGAATAAGATATTTAATACCTTATATAAAATTTTTTTTTAAATTAAATCAATGAGTCAAGATCATGTTTCATTTTCGAACTAAAACTTTGATTGACATTTAATAAGGAGAGGAAAATCTGTTTGAAATGTGTTATTCGATAAATGAGATCAATAATAATAATAATAATAATATTAATTAGTTTGCTTTTCTGTTAATTAAGAAAAAAAAAAAACTTATGTTGACCCTTAAATTTACAGTTTGATAATTTTTCTTCTTTTTTTTTTTTTTCCTTAAACGAAACGCTTCAATTTGTTGTTTGTTTGTTTGTTTCATTTTATAAATGAATTAGTTTCGGGTAATAAAAGAAATTTTTTTTTTACACTTACAATATATACAGAATAAAGAACAAAGAAAAAAAAGTAATAATAATAATAATAATAATGCCATAATCGTATTGTTACAACAATAAATCGTAAAAAAAAAAAAAATTTTACGACGATTCCAGAATGAATTTTTTTTTTTTTTTTAAATATGGCCGACTTTATTGGATGTTGATTTTATTAATAATTATTTTACAAAATCACGTTTGTTTTACTTGATGAATGACGTTTGTTGTGTTCGATTATTGTCGTCTGGTTTAATTATTATTAACTTTAATTATAATTTTTATGTTTTTTTATTGTTGTTAATAATTTATTAATAAAATTTGCGATAACTTTTTCTCATTACAAGATTTATCATTCACGTTGTTGATTTTCATTCATTCATTCATTCATTCATTCATTCATACATACATCAAACGAAAAAAATGTGCTAAAATTATTATTATTATTATTATTGCCATAATTAATGCCTCTTTTATTTATTTATTTATTATAATTTAAAGATGGAATATAATTAATTTAATTATTATGTAATAGTAAATAATAATGATAAGAACGATATCAATTTTTTTTTTTTTTTTTTTTTAATAAAAATAAAATTTTTTTAATCTTAACGTCATCCGCACACGAATGAAATTATTATTATTATTATTATTATTATTGACAATTATTTGAATGAAAAAAGTGGGAATAATAATAATAATATTATTTTAATTTAAAAAATGCGTGGGAGTTTTTATATACACGAGTTATGTTAGAGGAAACGTTAAAATTATTCACTTACAAGAAAAAATTTTTTTTTTATATTTTTTTTAACAGATGTATTGGTATTAACGGTTGCATCGAACGAAACGGACGGGTATCTGAGGTACCTGAGATCATGCAACGTCAACGACATACAAGTGAAAACGTTAGGAAAAGGAGTTGGATGGAAGGGGGGATCAATGAAATCAACAGGAGGAGGACAAAAAATCAATTTGTTTAGGGAAGAAGTTGAAAAATATAAAAACGATCATGAAAAAATAATCATTTTCACAGACAGGTGAGTACATCATCATAATCGCCGCGGCGGCCATTTTAAAGAGTTTGTTGGTGTTTTTATTAATTTTTCTGTTGTTAACATTATCGTGGCAGTTACGACGTGATTTTTTTGGCCGGATTAAACGACATATTGGAACAATTTGATAAAATCGGTGGAAGAGTCGTTTTTGGAGCCGAACCATTTTGTTGGCCTGATAAAAATTTAGCATCACAATATCCGATTCAATCGAGAGGAAAACAATATTTGAATTCCGGTGGTGAGTGTCCATCTTTCTTTTTTTTTAAATTTTCAAAAGGATGTTTTAATTAAATTTAATTACTTAAAAAAATGATGACGTGACTAAAAGCCTCCCACGTAAATGAAATGAAAAATTATTTTAATTCTCTCGTCATTCGTCATTTACTTACACACACACATAAAAAATGTCGTTCTCCCTTTTCTAAAGTCACGGTTTTTAAGAGAAAAACAAAGAATAATAATAATAATAAATGAAATACCATATCAATTAAAAATTAATGATGAAAGAGTTTAAACAAACAATTAACAAACGATATAAATTTCAATCATTTAAATCCCTAAATAATTTTGACATTGAATGGTGGTACCGTCTTGTGGATTTTTAATTTATTCCTCCTTTTTTTTCTAGGGATCATCGGTTACGCTCCTGAATTATATGAGATATTAACACACAGATCCATAGACGACGATGACGACGATCAATTATTTTACACTCAAGCATACCTTAACGAAACTCTTAGAAATAATTTGAAAATAAAATTAGATCACAAATCTCAAATATTTCACAATTTACACGGTGCCATGGGTAATTATTAGAAATATTTTTTTTTTTATATATTGATTTTGTAATTTGGATGTGACCCGGACGTGTGAAATAATTATTATTATTATTATTATTATTTGTCGGTTTCGTTTAGATGAGCTTTCGCTTAAATTTAAAAATCACGAACCTTATTTGGAAAACGAACAAATGAAAAGTCATCCGTTGATATTACACGGTAACGGTCCGACAGTCGTCAAAGTCGGTTTGAATAATTTGGGTAATTACTTACCGAATTGTTGGAATACCCGAGACGGATGCGTTTCGTGCAAGGAAAATGTGATAACACTATCAGACGAAGATGTAAGGGTTCAATGACACGTTCTTGCTGACCTTTAACCCCTTCGGATCAAAATAATGATTTTGTTTTCGTTGTTGTTACAGACGTCGAATCATCCGAGAGTTTTCGTTGCTTTATTCGTATCAAAACCCACGCCTTTCCTGGAAGATTTTTTACAAAAAGTTGGAGATTTAAAATATCCGAAAAATAAAATCAATTTGTTCGTTTATAATTTTATAAAACATCACGAGAGAGACGTTGATAAATTCGTCGGAAAATTCAGGGAAAAATACAAGAGCGTGAAAGAGATAAAAGCCGATGATGAAATTGCTGAATCACATGCGAAAACTTTAGCCATGTAATTTTTTTTTTTTTTTAAATGTAATGAATCGTTTTAGTTTTTGTAAATGGCTTTTTTAATTTGAATTTTACTTTTTTATTCTGCAGAGAACATTTCAAAACATCAAAAGCTGATTTTTATTTTAATTTGGATAGCGAAGCACATTTGGATAATCCTTACACGTTGAAACTTCTCGTCGAACAAAACAGGTGATCAAAACAAACGTTTTTTGTGCGCACTTTTGGATTTTTCCATTTTCCACAAATTTGATTTTAATGATTTTATTTTTCTTTTTAGAACCATCGTTGCTCCCATGCTCGTGAGACCGTTTAAAGCTTGGAGTAATTTTTGGGGTGGAATAGCCGAGGATGGATTTTACGCCAGGAGTTTCGATTACATGGATTTGGTAAATAACGAAAAACGGTAAATAACCCAAAAAAAAATATTTATTTATTTTTTTTCTGTAATGGCGTCTTTCTCGCATCGATCTCGTTTGTCTAATCCAACGACGACAATCGGGGGGGGGGGAGGTGGTGAGAAAAAAAAAAAAGGATTTTAATCGAAAGCGATGCTGAAATCAGTTTTAAAACTTCTGCTATCTATCGAATACATGTTATTGGCCGAACATTCGTAAATCCCCGCATCCATTTGCGTCGCAGGATCGATTTCTAATTTCGATTTGACTTTATCCGAACCCATTTTCCATTCGTGTACCTGATTTTAAAAAAAAAAATTATTCGAAATTTTCCATTTCGGAAATCGAGAAAAAAGGAAAAAAAGAAAACTTACGTGGCTGAGATAGTGAGCATATAATTCGATGCCATCTTTAAACCATGTTATCCTCGGTCTTGGATTTCCTCTTGCAACGCATAAAAATGCTATTTTATGTCCCAATACGTATTCGTAATCGAAATGAGATGAAAGGATTATTTTGGCTCCCTATTAAAAAAAAAAAAGGTTATATCCGTACTCGGTTACGTTATCATCATCATTATCATTCAATATCTTACATTGTTATTGTTGTAGTATTGATCGGATTCTGGATCCCGGAATTTTCCAGTTATGGGAAGACCGTTGATTATTTTACTTTTAGTTTTTGTCCTTGCTCTTCCTCTTCGACTTTTAGTCGTAACGAAAAGTAGAAAAAGTATCGTCATCTGTAAATTATTATTATTATTATTATGGGTTTTCTGCTTATCCGCGTGTATTCGAATATTAGTCAAAAAAAAAAAAAATTAGTACTCACCATCACGAGTTGCGTCTTCATTTTTTTTTTTTTTTGAAAAGTTAATAATAAGTAAAAGACGACGAAAACTTTAAAGACTCGATATTTGCATGTAATTTTTGTTTTTGTTTTTCGCGTATCGTCGACCGGGACGAAAAGTTAAAAACTTTTATTATTGTTTTGACCCTATAATGAAGGTGTTGTTTGTATGATTATTATATTAACAGTGGCGTAACATATTGTCAATTTGTTTGTTAACTGTTTAATTCTCGCGTGGGTGATTCGATGATACGACGTGATGTTTGTTGTTTGTTGTTTGTTACAATCGAGAATTTGTCTTTTAATGAGTTAAGGTAGACAAATAAAAAGGGGAATCGTTTGGAAAAAGTCGAGAGTTTGTAAAAATGATGGTGATAATAATAGTAGAGTGGATGGAAGGAGGGTCGGATTTCCACGCCACTGTTTCGTGTGCATTTTTAAACAGACAAACAAACGAACAAACAAACAAACAAACATGGGCGCAATAATCTATTTATTCAATGCACCAATTGTAATTGTATAAAAACATTGTTTTATCGATTTTAATGTGAAATTTCCGCCTCGGTTTGAAACCCATCAAGAAAAAAATTTTTTTTTATGAATTTAGACGATGAACTTTTAGAAACGTACGTTATTTCTTTTTATTTCAATCCCCCTTTTTCAGGTTCGGTAGGGATTTTTATCTCCGAAATTTCCAGGTTTTTGAGGTTTTCAACAAAACATGTTTGGAAAGATTGTAGGATGTAAAAACATAATCAAAATGGAGAGTACTAACGATATACATATATTTATTTCAATAGTACATAATTTTATTTATTTATTTATCGTTCGTTCATCTACTGTTTTACATATATTAAAAAAAAAAAAAATCGATTGATCGATATATCGATCGAGTTATAAAAAAAATTTTCTTTCTCATAGAGATTATATATATGTGTGAAGTGCTTTATATAAGATTCGTGTTCGATTTGTTTTTTTCTTACTACTGTTAAGTTTTTCCGAGGAAACTCGCACGGCGACAGAAAAAACTATTGTTAATAATAATAATAATACCTAAAATTGAAAATGATAATTTTACCGTAGGTTATTATTTGTAGCGATAGGAATGTTAATCCCCTACCTGTCTGATAATTTTCACTTCAATAAGTGTAAACTACGTAATCCGTTCTGAAACCTCGTCTGTCTATTGCATACTGATTATCTGCTTGACATTCGTAATATCCAGCATCTTTTTGAGTTGTCGGATCGATTTCCATTTTAGATTTCATCGTGTCGTTTCCCAGTGGCCATTCGTGAACCTGAAAAACGAAGAAAATCAAAGAAAAATTGAAATCTCTTTTTTTTTTTTCGTTTATTATTTGTTTTGTTTTCGAAAATTTTACAAAATGGATTCGTATACTTTGTCTTACCATCGAGTGGGGGGGGGGAGGGAAATTAAATTTTGTTTGTTATGTTTGTCGTTTGTGGAGATAAGGTGAGGAAGAGGTTCATTGATAATAATTTGGTGTTGTGACGTCATAACGTTTAAACGTATTGCACGTATCCATCATCTTTTCTTCTCGTTTCGTGGACATCGTACAACCTTCCATTTTTTCTCAATCTAAAACATTCGTCGGATCTTATGTCGTAAAAATCGGCCGTCAATGGTATGGTTCTGTAGTCTTTGACGTCTACGGTGTTTGCCCATTTTCCGGTGTCCCTTATTCTTTTCGCGGACGAGAAAAGGGGTTGGAAATGCCTTTTGGCTAATTCGTGTTTCGATATGATTTCGCTCGTCAATAGGGGTTCGTAATTGTCGCACGGTTTCGTTTTCAAATGAGCTTTGGCTTCGAGTTCGGTGAGAAGAATGCAATTCCAAGGTGTCCAATCTTTGGTCACGTCCCATCTCGGCATTCTTAAATCAATGAGGTCGTCGGATTCGGATATGGCGGAACGACCTTTCCATATGTTTTGTACTAAAAATCTCATGTCTTCGTCTTGGAGTACGAACGCGCACGACGAGTAGCAATTTCGCTTTTGTTCGTCTTTTCGTACCATTTTCAATATGTACCTGTACGGGCTCAAATCGATTCGAGGTATCGCTATGTTGTGAACCCATTGACAAGACGAACACACGTTAATGGATTTGTCGCGAGTCGACACGGAGAAATCTTTGAGGGATTTCATCGTGTGACACAACCTGCAAAATAATTTCCCACGGAGTAAATCTTTACAAAATGTCGGATCGTATTTGGCCATTTCCGGATTGAAATAGGGATCTTTGAAATATTCTTGAAATAAAAATTCGATTCTTTGTCGCAAATAATCTAAATCTTTGGCTTTGACGCCGCGAACTATCATTTCGCATTCTTGATTTATCAAAGAAATGAGTTCTTCGGTTAAAGTCGACGTTTGCACTCGAAGAGCGTGTTTCAATGAAATCAATAATTCGATTCGATCTTCGTAATTGAGATCTTGCCTGGATAAACTGTGGTAAAGCTCTTTCAATTCTCTCGCTCTTTGAGTTTTCAACGTGTCCATTTTAACGGTCATTCCTCTGTAACCCGTCCACGTCACGGGCGCAGCCACTTTTTCCATGAATTTTAAATTTTTAATTTCTTTTTGTTTTTTGCACACGGCTATCCTGTGTACTTCAATGGCTTCCAACAATTTGATTTCCTTTTCGAGTACGGCGCAAAGTTCGGCTTTTTTCGGCGCTTCCGTTTTCAACTTGCTGATTCTATCGACTTGTGTTTTCCTCCATTTTTCAACCATGGCGTAAAGCATGTCGAAATCCGCTCTCGTTTTCGGATACGTCATGTTAATTATATTGGTTTTAATCCTGTTTTCCCTTTCCAAAACTCTTTTTCTCTCCTGTTCGAGTTCCCAACATCTTCGTCTCTTGTATTCTTCGCTCATTTTTTTCAAATACCTACGCATTATCATGGCTCTTATGTATCTTTGTATGATTCTCGTTTTGTTTTCGACGTCTCTCCCTCTCATCCAGGTATCGTAGTCGACGTAGGGTTTGGCCGTCATTATTTTATCGTATTCCGTGCTCACGTAGTAGTCTCTTCGTGCCATTTGCGTCGATTTATCCATGAGAGTATCGATGGATTTCTCTCGGATGAACGCGGTTTGAGTGTCTCTCGAATTTTGTTTTTCCCAAGGGATTTTCGTCGGGCGGGGTCCGGATTGCGAAAACGCGTGATGATATTCGATCCCTGTTTCGCAGTCGACGTAACCTCCGACGAAAGGTTTTTTAATTTTACGATTTTCTATTTCCACGACGATTTCTTTTTTCTCTTCGGCTCCCTCGCAATCGACGCCCGTGACGACGGTGCACGTTATTATGTCCGGAACGGGAAGTTCTAAAAAATCACTTTTCAAACGCCATCTGTCGTTGTCCAATGTTAACAATCTTAGGGTTATCGTGTCGTTGGGTTCGACTTCGGGTATTAGGTCGTAGGCGGAAAGGTCGTCTTGAATTTCAATTTCGTCTCTGTAAATGATGAAAACTTCGGCGGGAACTTTGAAAATTTGCGAGAGGCCGTATTTGATGGTACGAAATTTCATTAGGTATTTAAATGCGTTCGTGTACGTGTCTCCAGAATTGAGTATGAATTTCATTGTCACGACCAAATTTTCGTTTCTTAATATTTCATCCGGATCCGTCGTTTCGATATATCGCAACCGTCTTTCTCTTTTCTCTTCGTATGCCCTCTGCTCTTCTTCGATCGCGTGTTTCCTTTCTTCTATGTATTTTTCCATTTCCGCTCTCAACGCCGGATCTACCATGTATTGTTTTTCCGTCTCCGACAAATATTTATTCCAATCAATTTTTTCATACGGAATGAAGACTTTTTTAGGCTCTTCTTTAACTACGATTTCTTTTGCTGCGGGTTTTACTAACGGTGCCATCATTTCCGGTGCTCCTTCATGAATTTTTTCCCCTTCTTCCTCTTCTCCCTCTGTCTCCTTTTCTTTTTCCTCTTCTTTTTCTTCCGGAATCGCTTCGGGAACTTCTTTCGTTTTTAATATTTTCATTTTGATTTTTTTTTTTGTTTTTTTAACGGCGGCTTCGACGGCTTCCGCCGGTTTCCCTTCGTCCTCGTCTTCCATGACTCTGTATTTCGTCACTTGGACTTGATCTTTGAATATGTTAATTAAATTTTGTCGCAAATTATCTTTGAAATTTTGCAAATTTTCGTTTATCTTTTCCGATATGTCCATGGGGACTCCCTTTTTGATCATCGTCACGACTTCTTCTGCCACTTGTCTCACTTTCAATATTTGATCTTTCATCTTTTTTAAAAAAACGTTGTCCGGATCGCTCAATAAACTATTTCGAAGTGTATCCATTATGACGTCAGCTTCCGTCACGATAGCTTTGTGAACTTTGTCATCTTCTTCGTCTTCGTCGAAAGCAAAACTCACTTCACTCTCTATGACTTTCGGTTGCGGATACAGGCCGGACACGTCAACTTCCGTAATCAAAACTTTTTTCTTTTCCAACGGCGTTCTTTCCTGTATGATTTTTTTGTCTTTTTCTTCTTCCACTTCGAGCGCCTTAATGATTTTCCTCATTTTTTCCTCTATGATTTCCTTGTAATCGCTTTCGAAACGTAATTCGCTCGGCGTTCTCTCTTTCGGTTGCATGAAATATTCAGCGATTCGCATTTTAAAATCTGAGGACGTTATGCTCGTTATGCTGGCTTTTTCAGATATCACTTCCTCTTGTTTGACTTCGTCCGCTTTTAGCAATCCGAAACTTTTCTTTTTCAAATCCTCTTCGAAAGCATCTTCTTCTCCCTCTCCGAAAGCTTCGCCGTATTCCTGTTTTTCCTCTTCGCCTTCTTTATCGTCGCCTTCTTGTTCGACGTGTTCCTCAACGAATTTGGATTCGGCTCGTCCGAGTAAAATATCCAAATCCGACGGGGGTATGAGGAGATCCGGTTCTTCTCCCCCGAATTCCTCTCCGTATTCTTCCCGGAAATATAATTTTCTCACGGGTTTCTCGACGGGTTTTTTAACTGGTTCTTCAACGCCTTCCTCATCATCCTCCTCATCATCTTCGTCATCTTCTTCTTTATCTTCGTATTCGATTTCTGTCTTATTTCCTTCCTCTAAATCTTTTTCTACATCTTTCTCTAAATCTTTCTCTACATCTTTCTCTACATCTCTCTCTACATCTCTCTCTACATCTTTCTCGTTTATATCTTCGTCGTCCGACATTTTTATTTTACAAAATTAAAAAAAGAGAAAAAACACAAAATAATAATAATAATAATAATAATATGAAAAAAAAAAGTGAGAAAAAAAAAAAACTAAATAAATGAGTAAAAAAAAATATATATATGTATTTTATTTTGTAACATTTATTCACGAAAATGTAAACTACACGATTTGTTGTTGTTGTTGTTGTTGTTGTTATTATTATTATTATTATTACGAACGGTTGTTGATTTCGAATTCTTATTCTGTTGCCACGGTAACATTGATTCCACGTTTTCTTGAGAAAAAACTTTCTCCTTTGAGAGAAATTTTTGAAAAAAAGTTTTAAAAATAAAAATATATTTACTACTTTTTTGGGGGAAGGGGAGGGGTTGGTGTGTGGGGTTGATCTTTTTAAAAATTTTATTATTAAAAGCCACCTGGAAAAATTTATGAGCGTACAATTCGATGCCATCTTTGAACCACGTGATCTGCGGTCTGGGAAATCCTTTTGCCATGCAAAAAAACGTTATTTTTCTACCCAACATGTAATCCAATTCGAAATGTGAGGATTTAACTATTCGAGCACCCTTAAAAAAAATGATAATAATAATAATAATTAATAATTTTTTTTACCGTTGGAAATCCCTCCCCCCCTTTTTTTTCACGCACTCGTCCGCCATTTTATTTTATTTTTTTTTTTTTTGCAATCACGAAATAATATTTATTTAATAATACTCACGTCTTTATTTTCGTAATAATTTCCCGATTCTTGATTTCTGTGCCTTATGAGAGCAGGAATTCTCATACCGTATTTTGTACCTTTTCTTCCACCTCCACGCCTACCACCACCACCACCACCACCTCTAGCACATTCGATGACGTGAATCAGGAGCATAGAAATCACAAATAATTTCGTTAAATGTTTTAAATAAAAAAATTTTCCGTTTTTAATCATACCGTTATTGGATTATATATATAAAGAAAAACTTTAGCGATGATGATGATGATGATGATAAAACCACGTGATGTTTTAAAACGTTCGAATCTCGCGAACGGTTTGTTTAAATAATAATAATGACACCTCCAGTCTTTGTCGTAATGATGGTCACGTTCGCATAAATTTCGTTCGTTTATTGTTTCTTATTAAAAAAAATTTATTGCTGGATTATTATCGTGTCAACAGTTTAATTGAATTTTATTCATTCTTTCAACAAGAAATAGGTCGAACGGGAGGTGAACGGCGGGTGCCGGTTATCAAAACGGTTATTTTTAGGCGCGAGAACGATGCCGACGCGTTTGATAACTTAACGGAAAAAAGCCATTTTGTTTTTTACTGATATAATATCCACGTTTATTTCTTTCAGGGGGTTGTGGAACGTACCTTACATCAGCGGATGTTATTTAATCAACGGTACCGTCATACGAAACGATGAAACCAAACCGAGTTACGTCGAAGGTGCCCTAGATCCGGATATGGCATTCTGTCATCACATGAGAGAAAAGGTCGGTAGTATTATTATTATTATTATCGTTGTAGTGACGTCAAGAACGGAAACGTCGTACGGCAAACCTCTCGAAATCCTCCTCTTTTTGTTTTTCCAGGGAGTTTTCATGTACGTGAGCAACAGAGTTGATTTCGGACATTTAATCAATCCCGATACTTACGACGTGACACGAACTCATCCCGATTTCTATCAAATATTCGATAATAAATGGGATTGGGAACAAAGGTGATTTATTGTTGTCGACCACGAGTTCCTGCAGGAACTCATTAATTTGGCATCGTTAAAAAGATTTAATTTTTTTTACAAGGTATTTGCACGAAAACTATTCGGAAAATTTAAATCCGGAAACGAAACCATTGATGCCTTGTCCAGACGTTTATTGGTTTCCCATAGCTTCCCCGAGATTCTGTCAGGAACTCATTGAAATATGCGAAACCTACGGGAAATGGTCGGACGGTAGCAATAAGGTAAACATTAAATTGATATCGTATAAAAATGTTAATGGGAAAATAGAAAATTTACAGGAATGTGGATTTATTGGAGACAACGTCAACAAACCTCAGAAGAATACAAAAAGGGATGAATGATAATAATAATAATAATAGTTATTTTAACGGAAAAGTGATTTTTTTTTAAGGATCTTCGTTTGGATGGCGGTTATGAAAATGTACCGACGCGTGACATACACATGAAACAAATCGGTTTGGAATATCATTGGCTTTACTTTTTGAAAGAATACGTTAGACCGCTCCAGGAAAATGTTTTCATCGGATATTATCATAACGTACGTTGTTATCGTTCCAGGGATTCTGAGAGCCTGCCTGCCTGCCTGCCTGCCTGCCTGTCTGACCACCTACCTACCTGCCTGCCTGCCCGCCTGCCTGCCTGTCTGTGTCACTTGTTGCCTGCTTATACTATGTTGTCACCAACGTGAAACGTTTTTACGTACCTTAGTTAAAAAATTTTCTTTTAATTTGTTTCCTTTTTTTTTTTTGCATGAGCGGAAATGTGTGTTTAGGTACGACGTAGTTGCGTAGCACATCAGATCATTTTTTTGTTTTTGTTTTTTTTTTGTTTCTTTTTTGTTTCTTTTTTTTTCTTTTTTTGGGGAATTAAAAGGACGATCGCCTTGACACGGGTTACGAAGCCGTACCTACTCGGGACATACACATGAACCAAGTGGGGTTGGAAAAACAATGGCTTCATTTTTTGGAAAAATATGTTGCTCCGCTTAACTACAAAGTCTATACCGGTTATCAGGATGAGGTAAATAATTTTTTATTTTATACCTCATCTCATTCGAAAAACAACAGCAGCAACGGTTGCTGTCGATTAAAAGTTTAACGATTTCAATTAATTAAATTAAAAGAGTACGAACGAGACGCGAACCTTGATTTATTAACCATAGCAAAACGCTAGCTTGCTTTCTAATATCAAAATTCAATCAATCAATCAATCATTCGTTATTGAAACATTAACAGAAAATTTTTTGTAAATATATATGTATATTACGTCACGCTTGTTAAAATATTATTTGCTTTGCTTTAAAACATTCTTTGCTGCTTTTTTCTTTTGCTGTCATTTAAAGATGATGTGATTAACGAGATTTGTAAAGAAAATTTCATTTAACCAAAATTTGCTTTGCTTTATATGAGCCGACGCTTTTTTTTTATTTTTGCTTGAAAAAAACAAAATGGATGTAAAAGAATAACGGATGTGTGATTTGATTTCAGCCTCCTCGTGCCATAATGAATTTTGTCGTTCGTTATAAACCGGACGAGCAACCGTCGTTGAGGCCACATCACGATTCGTCTACTTACACGATTAATTTGGCACTAAACACTCCAAAGGTTGACTACGAGGTAATCCACGTCACGTCTATTTTCCCCTCTCCCCGTCGGAAACGTTAACCCGATGATAATAATAATAATAATAATGTTTTTGTTTTTTAGGGAGGCGGTTGCAGGTTTTTAAGGTACAATTGTAGCGTCACGGATACGAGATTGGGATGGTTGCTCATGCATCCGGGAAGGTTGACACATTATCACGAAGGTTTGCTTGTGACAAAAGGTACGCGTTACATAATGGTTTCGTTCGTCGATCCTTAATAACAAAAAAATTAAATAATAATAATAATAGTAATAACGATAGATTTTTTTACGAATTGCAAAAACTACTACACATATACGCCTTCATCGTGAGTAAATTTCTTTTTTAACGGTTTTTTTTCTAATGCCACGACGTTTTTTTTTTTTTTTTTTTGAAGAAAAATTATTTAATAATGAACAATATCGAATTTCAATAACAAACAAACAAACAAACAAACGAACAAATCGTAAATTTTCACTGCCATATTAAAAATTTTTTAAGTTAATAAAAAGGATCGATGATGATGATGATGATGATTATTTATTAAGATTCTTATTAAGTGCCAATTAATAATAATAATAATAATAATGATAATTTTTTTACACGACTGACTCTAACGGAATAATGATAATGATAATGATGATAATAATTTTGTAGATTTTTTTTTTTTTTAGTTTTTATATATAAATTTTTTTTTTTTAAATAGAATTTGTTATAATTTTTGAAGAAAAAAAAAATTTTATTATTTTTTAGCTTTGAAAAGGTTGCCGCCATTTTGTTTTTTTTTTAATATTAAAAATGAAGTAGGAAAATTTAAGAAGAAGAAGAAGAAAATTTTAATTTTGATATTATTTTTTTAATTTTTTTTATTTCTTTTAATATTTATTGATAATTTTGAATTTTTTTTTTTTTTCCCGCCAAAAAATTGTAACGGTTGTGTATTAATCGTTTTGTTATTGCACGCGTCATCCTCGAATCAATGGGAATCACGTTTCCCGTTTAATAAAAAAAAAAAAAAAAAAAAAAAAAAAAATTCAATATGTCGAATTCATCGTTTTTCCATTTAAACGTAGCAAAAAAAAAAGTGAAATAATAATAATAATAATTATTTTTCCCCTAAAGGTTTTGCATCCAACGCTGTATTTAACGAAGAATTTCGATACATTCCAAAATGGCATAAATGATTAGTAAATTTTTGTTGTGTTGGAAAATATGATATTGGAACTGTGTGAATGTTTGGAGGATACCTGAACAAAAGATGGAATAACATTATTAATGACTCGTTTTGTTTTAGTATTTATAATTTATATTAAGTTTTTTACCATCCGTAATCCATGTAAGTCGATCTGTAAAACGGATGAGGAAGTGGAACTTGTTGACATCCATATCCGGTAAACCAATCTACAAATGAGAGAAAAATGATTACGTCATATAAGATCGAAAAAACCGATGGGAATCAATCATGAATAGTTTATTATTATTATTATTATTAGGTACTCACAAGGTCTATCCCATCTCGGTGGTAAATTACATGTTTTATAAAAATCTTTTGTCGTTTCTTTTTGCGGATCCTGTTGTGTAACAGTTGAAGTTACATTACATTTTACTGGAGCTGTCATTAATTATTATTATTTTTTTTTTTCATTCGATATTAATTTTATGATGTGATATCACTGGAGAAAGAGAGAGAGAGAGAGAAAGAGAGAAAAAAAAAAGAAGGATGATGCCTGTTTTTCTCGCGCGTTTCACTTCTTTTGCAATACAAAATATTTACAATTTCAAATATATATATAAATAAATAAACAATCGAATTGGAATCCGTTGCCATGGTAACGTGATTTTTGAAATAACCAATGATATTTTTTCTTTTTTAACCGTTTTCGTTGTACGATTTATTATATAAATTAACGAACTCTATTTCATTTTCAAGAATTTATTTATTTATTAATTTATTATCGTTATTAAAACGATTGAGAATAAACAAAATAATAATTAAAAAGTGACTTCATTACTAAAACACAAGTAAATTAATTAAATTATTAGAGTTAAAATTTGAAATGTTTTTGAAACACTGATTTTACCGCCATTTTATTTGTTTATACGTATAAAAGATATCAAACGATTGTTTCGTTGCTATAATTACATAAGAACAATTTAAAACTATTTAAAAAACGTATATTTTTAAAAATAAAAACGAATAATAATAACGTAACGGTTTTTTTACGCGGTGTAAATGTGATGACGTCAGAACGTGGCAGAAAGGTTAAAAAGAAAGTGTCACATCGTAAATGACTTTCACGGGGGTTTAGTTAAAATCGTGGAACTTGGTAAAAGTCCATATCCGCTTTGTTGTCAAGAAAGGCGGAAATTGAAATATTACGGTTAGAAACCTGCGCAGCCAAATCATCAACCTCTCTGTGCGGACGTGGTACCGAAAGATTTATACGGTGCTCTACGTAAATGTAACTAAATGTTAAGTCGTGAAGGAAAAGTTGGTTAATATAATTAAAAAAAAAAAAAAAAAAAAATTAGTTTTATTATTATTATTTTTGATTTATTAATCAAAACCCAATCATGGGAAGTAAGTATTTTTTTATTTTTCACTCATTATTATTTTATTTTTATTTTTTTTCTTATTTTCATTTATGAAAAATTACTTTGTTTAACCTGAATTTGACACTGGAAATATGTTTACTTTTTTTTTATTATAAATTGTCAATTTTCATTAATATATTCATTTAAATGCGATAAAATATTAATTAGAATTCGTTTGAGTTTATTTATTTTTATTAATTTTCCATTTTCCAATTGATAAAATTTAATTTTTTTTTCATATATGTACATATATGTATTATTATTATTATTAACACCTACTTTCTCTTTGATATTATTTTAATTTTCAATATTTTTTCCAATACAAATATTTTTCATTTAATAAGACTTTTCTTTTTTCCATTGTTTAAAGTACTTTAATTAATTTTTTCGAATAATTTATTCGACAAAAGTTAAAACTTGTTTTAATGATTTCAAATTGTGTGATTGGAATTTTTAACAGAGACCTTATTATTATTATTATTTGTTTTGTAAAGTATTGTATAAATTATTTATTTACAGTTAAGTTTCTAGAAATGATTAAACCCTTTTGCGGGGTTTTACCTGAAATAGCAAAACCAGAAAGACAAATACAATTTAGGGAAAAAGTATTATGGACAGCTATAACATTATTTATTTTCTTAGTTTGCTGCCAAGTGAGTTAAAAAAAAAATTTAAAAAATTTTATTTATTTATATTAAAAATAAAATTTTGTATTAAATGCCATATTTATCATGCCATCAGATTCCATTATTTGGTATTATGAGTTCAGATTCAGCTGATCCATTTTATTGGATTAGAGTTATATTAGCTTCAAACAGAGGAACACTCATGGAACTTGGAATATCACCCATTGTCACATCTGGGCTTATAATGCAATTGTTGGCGGGAGCGAAAATAATCGAAGTCGGTGATACTCCTAAAGATAGAGCACTTTTTAACGGAGCTCAAAAATGTAAGTTTTATTCAAAATGGTGATTATTTACAATAGAAATTTTTTTTACTGATTAAATTTTCTTTTTTCTTTTTGTTTAGTGTTTGGAATGGTTATAACTGTTGGTCAAGCAATAGTTTATGTAATGACTGGAATGTATGGAGATCCGAGCGAAATTGGAGCTGGAGTTTGTATGCTCATCATCATTCAACTTTTTGTAGCTGGTCTCATTGTTCTATTATTAGATGAATTGTTACAAAAAGGTTATGGTTTAGGATCAGGGATTTCATTATTTATAGCGACAAATATTTGTGAAACAATCGTTTGGAAAGCTTTTAGCCCTGCTACAGTTAACACAGGTTTGAACTCTTCGATAAATTTTTATTCGATAAATTTGATAAATTGTTTATATTATAATTTGCTTGATTTGCTTGATTTATTCACCTTGATGTGTTTTTTTCAAGGTTTTGATGTGTGACAAAATAAAAATAAACAATTTTTTTAAAATTTTGTTTTGTTTTTAGGAAGAGGTACAGAATTTGAAGGAGCTGTTATCGCTTTGTTTCACTTATTGGCTACAAGACAAGACAAAGTTAGAGCTTTGAAAGAAGCTTTTTACAGGCATAATTTGCCTAATTTGATGAATTTACTCGCTACTATTATGGTTTTTGCCATAGTTATTTACTTCCAGGTATGATATGATGATTTTAGTAGAACCTGAAGTTTATTCGATTCAATAAAGAGATCATTAATTAATTATTTATTGATTTATATTTTTTTTTTGTTAGGGTTTCAGAGTAGACTTGCCAATTAAGTCTGCCAGATACAGAGGTCAATACAGTTCATACCCAATAAAACTTTTTTACACTTCAAACATACCCATCATATTGCAATCAGCTTTGGTTTCTAATTTATATATTATTTCACAGGTAAAAAAAAAAAAAAAAAATATTATCGAACTCTATTCTTAATGTTTGAGAAATTTTATTTATTATTATTATTATTATCACCATGTCATTTTTTAGATGTTGGCAGTTAAATTTCAAGGGAATTTACTTGTGAACTTATTGGGAGTTTGGGCCGATGTCGGAGGCGGCGGTCCCGCTCGTGCTTATCCTGTGGGAGGATTGTGTTATTATTTATCACCGCCAGAAAGTATGGAACACATATTAGAAGACCCCATTCATGCTCTTCTCTACATTGTCTTCATGTTAGGTTCTTGTGCCTTTTTCAGTAAAACATGGATTGAAGTTTCTGGTTCTTCTGCTAAAGATGTAAGTTTTTCTCTCTCTCTCTCTCTCTCTCTCTTAAATTTGAAAAATTTGATTAGTCATAAGTTAAATATTTATTTTATGTAGGTTGCCAAACAACTTAAAGAAAGACAAATGGTTATGAGGGGACATAGAGATTATTCGATGGTTAAAGAACTCAATAGGTACATTCCAACAGCAGCAGCTTTTGGAGGTGAGTTTTAAATTTGAAAAAAAACTTATTATTATTATTATTATTGTTCACTATTAAACACGACAAGGCTATTATTTGTGGGGGTTTATTAAATTTTAGGTCTTTGCATTGGAGCTCTCTCAGTTTTGGCCGATTTCCTAGGAGCAATCGGTTCAGGTACAGGTATTCTTTTGGCTGTCACAATTATTTATCAATATTTTGAAATATTTGTTAAAGAACAAAATGAAATGGGAGGTATGAGCACATTGCTATTCTAAAAATTAAATTATTAGGTTAAAAAAAAAAAAAAAAAAAAAGAAACAATTATGGAGTAAGGGGAGTGTAATGTTGTGCTTAATTATTTTTTTTTTTTTTCCTTTTCTCATATGTATATATTTTATATGATCAGATGTTAAATAAAAGAACAATTAAAACGATTTCAATACTGACATAGAATGTTTCCAATGTTTTTTTTTATTTTTTTTTGTGTAAATTAATTTATTTCCATTAAAAAAAAAAAAAAAAAGAAAAAAGAAAGAAAATATATATGATTAATGTACAACTGAACCGAGTGGATCTGCTCTTATTGAATTCATATCCAATCTAGAATCTATTTCATCATCCATTTCTCCTATGACAGCCCTGCAGTTAAAGTGAAATTTTAAATTAATTTTAATGTGTTTTTTCTTTCTCTTTTATCAGAATTGGGTAAATATTTACATGTAAAACAGTTTTGTGTTGCGAATACTCACACATTATCTCCTCTAATTATGTGTAAACCTAAAACAACTTGTTCTATTCCCTGCGTCTGACTGTAAACTCTTTCATGGCTTTCATCTAATATTAAATTAATCGTTTGATCAAATCCTCTTAGAGTTCCCTATGCGAAAACACATTCGATTAATCAAATCGGAAAAATTGAGATATTGTTTTAAAATTAATTTTTTTTTTTTTTTTTTAACTTAAAACTTACTACAAAATTTCTTCCATCCGATGTAATTATCGAAACGGTGTCTAAGAAGAAAAATTTTATTAAGAAAAAATAATAAATAATTTAAAAATGGTTTACTTAACCTAACTTGGTTAAAAAGTATCATTTGAAAAGGATACGATTGACATAACTTTCTAAACCGGATGCCATTCTTTAAAAAAAAAATTATTTTGTAAAAATATATATATTTATTATATCACTAAAAACTTATTAATGTGACGTAATTAAATTAATAACTTGTTATTAACTTTTTGTTTATTATTATTATTATTATACATTGGCATAAGCAGAGTAAACAAGTCTTAGCTCAGGTTTAACCGGAGATTTTCCTTTGAAAAATAACATTGTCCGTATAACGTAAAACGGATTCGATCATTTAGTTACATGAAATATTTTTTAACTTTTTTTTTTTTTTTAATGTCTCGTCGATCATTTTTTTAAAAATGATTATAAAAGATTTTAAATTAAGTTTTATTAATGCGTGACCTTTATATTTTTACTTTATAAATTCTTCGGTAAGTATTTTTTAACGGTTATTAATTTATGAAATGTTTATGGGTATACATTTAAGCTGTCATTCGATTTGTCGAATTTTGAATTTTTTAATGAGAATTATTTAATTTAGTTTTATTTTTCCAATTACATATATATAATTATTTATCATGTTTGATTTTTTTTTTTTCAGTTTTAACAAACCGTTGGAAAAATTTAAATACCAATAAATAAATTTTTTTTTTTTTTTTTTGAATGATTCATTTCATTGTCAATTTACAATACAGTAATTTTAATTTTTAAAAAAATGACAACAGAAGGAGATTTATTAAAATTTGCCCCATTTAAATCTCAAGTTGATCCCAGTTTTTGGCAAAAATTAACCGAAATGAAATTAGATAATGATAAATTAAATGAAAATGTTCATAAAATTTGGGGTTATTATAGTAATAAAAAACCAGAGGGACAAAATCAATTATTTTCTGTCGATGCAAGTTCTTTCAACAAGTAAGTTTATTAAAGGCTGCTTTTTTTTCTTTTTTTTATAAATTTTAACTTTATTATTATTATTACTTATTCAAATTATTATTAACTTTGATTTATTTCTTGTTTATTTTTCAGGTCGCCCGATGAAAATAGATTAATCGGAGTCGGATCGATATTAAACAAAAACACAATTGAAAGTTTCAAAGAAGAAAATTACATGGATATTGTTAATAGAGAAGGGAAAGAAATAATTGACTCAATTAAAAAAGATGCTGTTGAAAATCCTTCGTTACTATCGAAATTTTTCATATTAACTTTTGCCAATTTAAAAAGTTATATTTTTTATTATTGGTTCGCATTTCCAGCTCCGACATTTTTCAATTGCAATAATTTAAATCATCCTAAAAATATTAGTGAATATTTTAATGATGAACAACTTGATTGTTTATATGATGGTTATAAAAATAAATTAAATACTCATAACAAAGGATTTTTTTTTGTCAGATTAAAAAATGAAAACATCGAATTGTTTTCTCTCAATGAGGGACTAAATGAAATTAATGGTGAAGAAAATTGGTTTTTAGGATTTTCAGATACTAGCAGTTCAATATATCCCAGTTGGCCATTGAGAAATTTTATTGCATTGTTAATTTATCATCGGTGAGTGAGTTAATTTAATAAATATTTTAAATTATTTTCAAAATGCAAAATTTACTTTTTTTTGTCACAGTTTGAAAATGTTTGATTATCCTGTGAAAATAATTTGTCTGAGATTAAATTTTATCGATGGAAAATGGAATATAAATAATTCATTGGTTTTAAATGTGAAAGTAAATATAAAAAAAAATATTAGTGAAATCGATGATTGGACGATGGAAAAATGGGTTGGCTGGGAAAAAAACGATAAGGGAAAGCTTAGTCCACAAATGGCAAATTTAAAACAATACATGGATCCTGTAACGTATGTTTTCAGACATGATGTGATAATAATGATAATTATAATTAGAAATTTACACTTAAAACAAAACGATTAATTTGTCTTTTTCTTTTACTTTCAGTTTGGCAGAAACATCTGTCGATTTGAATCTAAAACTTATGAAGTGGCAAATAATGCCAAATTTAAATTTGGACATAATAAAAAATTCAAAATGTTTATTAATAGGAGCTGGAACTTTGGGTTGTGTCGTAGCTAGAAATTTAATTTCTTGGGGTGTTAGAAAAATAACATTTATCGATTATGGTAAAGTTTCTTATTCGAATCCTGCGAGACAATTTCTATATAATTTCGAAGACGTTGGTAAATTTAAAGCTGAAGTTGCTGCTACAGCTCTGAAGAAAATATTTCCCGGAACGGTAAACGGTTTTAATAATAATAATAATAATAATAATAATAATAATAATAATAACCACAATTAATTGTGAATGAATAAATTTTTTAAATTACGATAATAATAATTGAATATTCAGGTTTCTTCAGGTTTGGTTTTTAAAATTCCAATGCCTGGACATCCATTGGGTGAATCATTGATCGATGAAACAAAAGAAAATGTTGAAAAATTGGAAAAACTCGTCGATGAACATGACGTTTTATTTCTTTTAATGGACTCCAGAGAAAGTAGGTGGTTGCCAACTTTGATAGCTTGCGCCCGGAAAAAGGTTCGTAATTAACGTTAATATTATTATTATTATTATTTTTTGTGTTGTCTGAACGAAATAAGGTTTTTAAACGGTCGTTTATTAATTTTAGTTAGTTATCAACGCGGCTCTCGGATTTGATTCTTATTTGGTTATGAGACACGGATTGAAAAATTCAACAATGGAGGAAAAAAATGATAGGAAATTACTTTCTGGTGATGTATTAGGATGTTACTTTTGTAACGACATTACAGCACCTGGAAATGTAAGAAATAATTTTTTTACCAATTTCGTCCGTTAAAAGAATGTTTCAAATTTACGCGGGTATTTATGAATACTTATTCGTTATTATTTAAATATCAGTCTTCGAAAAATAGAACGTTAGATCAACAGTGCACCGTTACTCGTCCCGGTGTGTCTAACATAGCAGGAGCTCTGGCTGTTGAATTATTTGTATCCATTCTTCAACATCCTCTTGGAGGTTTAGCTCCAGCTGATACAAATTTGGAAAAAACAGAGTATGATGGTGTCTTAGGCATGATACCACATTCGATTAGAGGATTTTTGAGTCACTATCAAACAGTTTTACCAGCTGTCGAAGCATTTAATTCTTGTGTTGCTTGTTCGGAAAAGGTAATTTTTATAGAAAGTTTTCGATAAAGAAATTTTTAATGACAAATCATGCGTTAATTACAATTTTTTTTTTTTTTTTTTTTTTTTGTTTTTAATTTTGATTTGAAGGTAGTTTCCAAATACGAGGAAGAAAAATTTAAATTTTTATATAAAGCACTCGAATCGAAAGAATATTTGGAAAATCTTTGCGGTTTAACTGATTTACAAAATGAACCTCTTATTGAAGAAGTTTTGGAATATTCAGATTCCGAATCTGAATAATCAGACATCTTGTTAGTTTTTTTTTTATTTTTTTTTTGTCATAGAATGTTTATTAGAATACTGTAAGAAATTTTCACTTGGATTTCAGTTTGCTTTTTTCCCTCCAGATTTATTTTGTTATATATATCGAATGCCTAAAATGTTAAGGTAAATAACATTGCAATATTCGATGTAAATTTGTATTACATTTAAGTCTATTTAAAATAATCATAACTATAATAATGAAAATATAAAAAACTGTTTTTTTAATTTCATTAAAGCAACATATATGAA